ATAAGCTTTGCAAATTTGGTCTTGAGCCATTGTTATCACGTTTAAAATTTCTATTGGTTTTAAATAAGCAATTCTTATGAATTTCTTTATCTTAAATTTGGGGATAGTCTTTGCAAATTTATTCAACCATTTTAGCCGGATTGAGTGCTTTAAAGTGAACAATCTCCTTTCATTGTCAATTAACTTATTGCTTTGATCTTTCAAGTCACGTCAACTTTTGTAGCTTAAAGTCATTTCGTAGGACAGCATACTTTTATTAAGCATTATGCATACACCACACATTGACTTGAATAGTTTTTGTAAATTTGGTTTTGAGTCATTGTTAGGTATTTAGAATATTTATTGGTTTTAAATAAGCAATTCTTAATAAAACTTGCACACTAAAATGGTGGAAGCAAAAATAGCCTAAAGAAAAATGATATTTATAGTATGTCTTGGAGTCAATAATTTGTTTTCTAACCCCAAAATTCAACAGTTTACGAGTTCCCTATTCGATTCAAGGATTTAAGTTTGAATGGAGCTTATCAACTAACAAAAAAAGGTAGTTTCGAATTTCTTAAGCTCACTTGAATAGTCTTTGCAAATTTCCCTAGTCAATCTTTCCGGATTGAGAACATTATGGTGACCCTTGCTAAGTTTTCTTGTTAGTTACATATCAATATGTTCATCACTTACCTTTTCTTAGTAAATGCATTACAGATACATTTCAGAAAAGGAAAAGCAAATAAAGAAAAAGGAAAAGGTAAGACGGAAGTGTCCTGCTTGTTTTTGAAAGTTATTTGGCTGATGGACCGTCTCAATAACGCGTTTTAATTTCTAATTTCTACTTTCCACACGTTAATGACTGTTAGCGTGTGGAAAGTAGAAAATTGTAGTCACACTTTTTGGAATTATTATATATCTCAAAGAAAAATGAAAGAGGAAAGTGTCCTGCTTCTTGTTGAAAGTTATTTGGGTGATGGATTGGCCCTCCTTATAACATCGTTTTACAATTTTCTACTTTCCACACAATAATGATTGTTAATGTGTGAAAAGTAAAATATTGGGGACTTATGTTGATGTTTATTCACATTTAATTATTAAATTAATATTAACGACTTTTTAATTCGAGTGGAAAGAACTTAGTTTCCGTTAAACAAGATCTCGAGTTTGGGTATTGTGAATGGAGAAACAAGCGCTGGGAGAGCTTCCTTCCTAATGGGGTCTAATGCGGTTCGATTCCAAATTAGTCGAGATTCAATATGGTTACCGGATATTGGAGGTTAATATAAAAAAAAAATTATTAAATTAATTATTTAAATTTCTTGTTTTGTGGAAAACTTGAAGAGAAGCATTTACCTTACTCATCGTAACATTAAAAGCACGTTGTTAAAAGAATACAAAAAAGAACATGATTTTTTTTTTTTTATTTGAACTGGAGAAACTTGAGGGTGAGGAGTGTGTGCCTAGGTTTGGACTGAGAACTTTAATATCTTAAACACCGTTCTTCTTAGAGGATGGCTACTAGGTCAATTAGTGATGGATAAAAAAAAAAAAAGAAGAACATGAATTGTAGCAACCAAATGGCAAGAGAAGGTTTGAATACAGAATTACAGACTTCATCCTATATATATCCAGAGCTATGGCAAGCTTGTCTCTAAAATAACATTTGTTTATTAATAAATTTAATTTTTAAAGTTAAATTTAATATTGTATAAAATGATTACATAAATAAATGACTTATTGAAGTGTTTATAAATTTATACAATTTGTAATTATAAGAAAAATACCTATCTAAAAGCATTAGTGCTATTTCTGAGTTCCCTACTTGATCTGAGGATTTAAATTTGAATGTAGGTAATCAACTCAAAAGCGTAGTA